AAATGAAGAAATTTTGTTCCTTATTATATTTAATCACACATGGCTATATCAATGTATAAAGCAAGCTAAGTGTTTTAAGGGTGGTTTTCAATAGTTCCATAAACAAGTTCAAGTACATTGTATTCAGCAACATAGTAGCATACACAGATGGTTATGCTTACGCTCTTCATGTTATCACTTGACACAGCGTAAGCAGAACAAGATAGAGCAAGTTCATTCTAATGCCAAAGTAACAGTTTTGACAAGTGAACATGGCATACACACACTATCGAAAGCCAACCTTTATGTAATAATCAACTTAATTCACATTAATATAAAATAGCTGTTCTGTAAAATTGATAGAATTTTAACAAAACCTCAATTTGATTCTCATTTTGAGGATGGAAATATATTTATAGCCCCCCTGCCCCCTTTCCCTCCTTCCTAAATCACACCTTCCTTGCTTCCCTTATTTTGGCTTCTCTGTAGGGAAATAATTATGTAGCAAACCTCCAGTAACAAATTTCAAATTCACATTGGAGGTTATGATTTCAGGAGAAAAAAAGTTTAAAATATTACAAACTACCAGTACTACAAAATTCTGTACATCCTCAGGCTGGAAAGAAGAAAATCAAAACAAATGATTGCTTATTGCTGAATGAAATTCATCGTTCTATTTACTGCCAATGAAAACAAGGCAGGCTTCTGGATCAATAAATGTACAAACAGAACCCACGATAGGAAATTCAAAATAAATAAAGTTAAACTAAGCCAGCGCCCACCTAGAGGATGACTTAACATGTAAACTATACAATGTTATGAAGGATCATACATTCAAAGATTCCTAAAGTCTGTGCATGGAAACAAGAATTCTAAAAATCCATTATAACTATCCTCTGCTCGAAATAGCATTTGTGGTGTAATATCTCAATACTGAGTTATTAATAATAAATAATCTTCCACACCTCAATAATATTACCGATAATAGCTTATACAGTGATTTAATATTCAACATCCATGTGTCATTGACACCATAAAGTGTTGAATTTAACAACTCGGGTAAACGCTACTATTGGCCAACAGTCAACAATGACCGAGCCCATCAAATTCCCAGATTTGCAAAGGTCACTGGCTGATATTTACAGTGTACTTTCAGGATCACTTTCGATGGTACAACTTTATCACCCACAAACTTAGTAGTTTGTGCTGTGAACACTTTGATTTGATTCTGACCGGTCAATAATTATTGTGCACTGACCTATCAAAATAAAGTTTAGGACATGCAAGCAAACCTTAAAACTGCAAATTAATTACCATTGCTGTTAAACTGTTTGCAGTTTAATTTTCGCATGCCTACTCAGCTTTTTGCTTGCTGCACAATAACATTCCAGAAAGCCTTCTGGTGTTCAAGTTATTTCTAAGCCCTTCACTTTCACTGAGGTTACAAATTAGTTACTGTATTAGGTCTCAAATTCATATGAATTTTTTTTTCATGTCATACACAATGAATCACAGGCAATTAGCAGGTTTGATTTACAAAAATAAATTGAGGGGTAAGTTGTCGAAAGCAACAAAGTTGCACCATTTAAACTGGCCCTTACACAATGACCATTTCTGTTATTGCTTCCATTTCTTTGTAGTAAGTTGCTACTCCATTTTAAAATTAAAAGCCTTATTTTGATAAACCAGTTCAGTTTGGTTGCGTCATCAAAAACTATCAATGTCCAGTGAATTTATACGCAAAACGGTTTTATACTTTATCCACAATGCCATTACTTACAAATTTCTCTTTGATTACATGAAGTTGACTCGTACATGTACATGTAGACCCGTACTTGCGAACAACACCAGGAATTTTTTTAAAAAACTTCTAATACCTGGCATTACTTTTGGTGTGTGAAGAGAACAGAATCTGTCACAGGTGTGTTGTGAACAGATAGATAAGAACGTTCTTGGGAGTTGGTTGCATTATAACTTGATACACTCGACGGTGGTAATGACACATTGCCTAGGCTACTTGAATGAAATGCTGAAGATCCCGTGGTTGCAATAGGTTTCAGTGGTGGCGGTTTACTGAGCATACTGTTGATCAACTTTGGCCGTCCACTTGGAAGGATTTTTAACTTTTTTGTTGGTGGTTCTCCACCAGATTCTGGACCAGACACAATGACAGATGTTGGAACACAAGACTGTTGTTGCAACTGTCTGTTAGGAACGCTGTCATGGAGGTCTCTTTTCGTCAGGGAGACTGATACAGGGTTAGAATTTGAAACGTTAATTGTGACGACCGTACTCTGGGCTGCAGTGGGGGCGGCAACAGTATGCATTGGTTGTATTGCTATTGGCTGACTCTGGCTTTGAATGGCAGTGGTGATGGGTATCATTCCATTTCCAGGACGAACCCTTGATGTGAAGTTGTGTGGACTGGAGGCGCGGCTAGAGGCAGCACTCTCATTTTCATCCAGAAACCTGTCCATGTAATCCCTGAAACAAAGACAACTCCACATTAATACTTTTCTGACCTTTTACTAGTTTGTATATTAATTATTTAATCAGAGTTGAATCCCACTATTTTGAACTCACAGGAGAAACAAAAAACAGTTCAAAGTAGCGAGAGTTCAAAATAGCTGATAGCAAATCAGTAAACATCTCAGAGCTTAGATTGTTACACTTACGTAATTCCTGGGTGGAAGGCATATTTTTTCTTTGTCAGACGGGTTTGGCAAGCGAAAGCATCATGCCGTTCAGTTTTCTTCCATAAATAGTAGAACTGGACTATTTCTCCCACAGTGCGAGACATAACCTGCAATGTTTAAAATTTACTTTAATTTAATTCTTAATTCAACAAGTAACACAGAATTGAAGCTTTCATGTAACCAAATTATGCAAGAACTACTGGGATTATACTGTATTCCAGACTGAAAATTTGTACCAAAGCCAATACACTGTACCACTTTGCAATAAAAAGGTAAAAGCCCTTTTCATGGTTAAAATTTCTCATTTGCATTTAAAAAGTAATCTAACATAGATCCGAAGCAATTTTACGCAGAAACAATAAAAATGAAAAGGGTAATCATGAAAAGGGCTTTTGCATTCTATAAATGTAAAAATTTACAGTAGCTTTAAGTGAAATATTACCAGAATATTAAAAAGTGATACCCGTTTGTTGGTAGTGCTCTCGTTGACTTACCTTATTCTTCTGGATCTGTCTGAAGTCCTTTCCATAAACTCTCAAACCTGAAAGAAATGGAAATAAGAAAATAACAAAAGAGTGGATGAAAACTAGGTTGTTGGGTCAGTACCATTTGATTTATAAAAGATTGGGATAAATTGAAAATAACATACCACTTTCGAAGTCCCTGCACTCATCTTCAGACCACAAGGCCATTTCTGAAACAATATCAGTTTCTTACAAGTTAGTGAAGTATTATTTCAGAGTAACAAGTCACATTACATGGTTGGAACAAATTTCATTACTTTCTTTACAACAGACTAAATGCTTATTTGCATAAATCAAAAAATTAGGTGCTGAACTACAGGCAAACAGAAAGCTCTTGGTTACAAACCTGCTTGTGGGTTCGTTTGAGATTTTCTCTTGCCTATGGCATCTTCTACTATGTAGTTGCACTGTAACAGCAAGTACAAAGCCTGCAACATTCAAACAAATTACATGTAGTGACAAGTTAATAAAGANATAGACTGTGACCCATCAGATTGGTGCATCTTTTCATTGTTAGTAGCATGATGTAGTAAGTGACTACGATTATTTCGCTGTCTACCTCCAGCTATGATAGTACATCACAGGGTTTACCATAGGTTTTTATTCCCTGGCAAGCATTTGTATTTCTCAGTAAAGGGAGGCATTTTGAGTTAGAGGAAAGTGTCTTGCCCAGTATACATGTACCACAATTTAAGCCATGACTCAAACCTGGACAAGTTCAGGGTTCGTATTCTTTTAGCTCTCCAAATTCCATGACTTTCCATGACCTTTACCACGACCTTTTCCCTTTTGCCATGACCTTACGTTTAGCTGTCACTTTTGAAAATTTGCACAACTATCCTTGTTTTAGGGTGAAATTTGCATTTTTTTTTTTTAAATCTCAGGCGTTCACCAAAATGTATGCAGTTCAAATCGCCCTTAGAGTGTCTGCATAGGAGGCTAATTGCTCAGTAACTTGCCTTTATTTTATTTTGTTCTTGTTTTGACATGTGCAACGATAACGTACCAGACATAACTATTTTTTTCCATGACTTCCCATGACCAACATTTAAATTCCATGACTTTCCAGGCCTGGAAAAAGAAATTCTTGAATTCCATGACTTTCCAGGTTTTCAATGACTCATACAAACCCTGAAGTTGATATGGAGTCCATTACACCACTGCACTTTTGTCGCAGCACTTGCTCCATACATTCTCTTTAATTACAGTCAACATTGGTACAGTAACATTTGCCATGTCCTAACAAACTTGTGAGTCTGAACACCTATGAGCAGCTTACTTGTTCATCGTCCCTGAGTACATCTCGCCTCATTCCCTCAAGGCCTGGAATCTGACATATTGCATTCAAATAACGCTGTACTGCAAGAGAATATGTTGTTCATTATCAGTGCAAGTTGAGAGAAGTACAATTGACTGATAACTCATGAGCCATGGGTAATTTACATCTCCAACCTCCCTTTAGTGAGTATGCATGTTAACAAGTTAACATGTTAACTCGAGATTTCTACAGCCCTCCTTGACTATTTACATTGCCAAATGAGCCCAAAGTGTGTATGTGAGATTCAAGGTATATGCCAGTCAAACAAGAACTCTTGCAATCTCTGATTTGAGAATGTTCCAATCCAACAATAGCTAACATCAAAGTAGGTAGTTTTAATGAGCACCGATGTTTAAGTCTCTCTTTGGCTTGCTTTTCTCACCTTCTCAGGAACTCAAAGAACTTTCTGTTTAGCTAGTGTGATGTACTTACACTCTTTAGCACTGACTTTCTTGGGATCCCAAAGGCACTTGTCATCTTTAATATATGGAGCTGTTGACAATGAAAATTATCATTATATTAAGTAATCAGAACTTGGAGTTAACAGGTTAGTCTGGAAAGAAGCCATCCGTAATGGTGTATTAGTATTCCAGGGATCAATATACTATTTTTAATAAGCTTTAAAAATTGACCTCACTTACCTTCTTGATAATTTGGACCCATCATTTCTGGAACCTCTGCTTGATGGTCAGGTCCAATTTGAATCTCCTGGAATAGAAGTAAATGTTCATCACTCAGCATTAAGTAACACATAGATCCTATTAACTAGCAGTCTGCAGTATGGTTCCATGTTCCAACCAACAATAGCTATATGCATTGAGCAATAGTTCCCACAGGTAACCTATAGCATGGTTGTAGTCAGAGTGTTTAAATGAAAAACAATTTCTTTTTGTTTTTTTCTGATCAATAACAGTGGCCTCACGGTTGGTGCACTTGAATCTGGCTCAAGTGGTCTGCGTTCAATCCCTGGCCAGGAATTTTGTGTTTGTGTTCTTGGGCAACCTACTTTACTTTCACAGTGCCTCTCTCCACCCA